ATATTTTCCATCTATCCCCTTAAAAAGAATGAGAAGACACCTTCTCATTTTTAACAGGAATAGGAAAGCAATGACTGCAATACAATGATACATACAACTTTCTAATATGGAAGCACTTCGATGGGCACATAAATCAGGAATAAAATAAACTTTTCAATTTGTAAGATCTTGCACTTAAAAATAAAATGTACTAAAAAGTTACATTTGAGATTGCATTGAGATTGTTTTAGGTGACATAAAAGTAAAAGAAACTATCCATCTCAAATTCTTTTCACCAAAAGACTCTTAAGAAATGGAGAGAAATAATGCCACATGCTGCACTTATGATTAACATCTTTGACACACTCTGACTTTCGTGAGATCCATTGCAACTATCTTCAGAGCAGTAACATTCCTCCCAATACACACCATTTTCATAAACACCCCAATTGCAAACCCCTGTGACACCTGTTTCTGAAACTGATGCACATCGGCGGATGACTTGACGCCAGCGTCCATCCCCTGTTTCAAACATCGGAAACAAAGAAATCAATTATTTGTATTCGGTGATTGGCATAGATGTTGAAAATTTGTAAAGAGAATACTTACAAATAAAACCTTTTGGTCCCTGCTGGGTAACCTTCATACAGAAAGAACCAGGTGTACTTGATTCATCACTGGTGCATTCAACAGCAATGTGTTTATTCTTGTCAAATTTATCATAGGCTCCACAATTATCCTCCCCTTTAGGATCTTGCCCAGAGGAGCACTGGTAACAACGTATGCACTCAACTGAAAAAAAATGATACACAAATTGGCCAAAATGTCATAAACACCTCCTCGTATTCTTTAAAGAAGAATCGACTTCTCCAGTAGAAGAAATAATTGGAGGCGTAGAATACACAGTTTTGTGGGTGTAATAATTTAAGGCGTGTACAACAATGTGTCCTACAAACAAAATTAAGATGGGGAAAAGACAGCAAAAAATAGACAAAATAGAATTTGACCTTTAAAATGAAGAAAATGAAAATTTTATTAGCTCTCAGATGCATATAAATAATGAAGAAACTACATACCAGTGTGCATTAGAGATGAAATTGCAATTACTGTAACCAAAACAGCACATTGTGTCTTGGGATTCATTATAACTTCTGACAGGAGCAAATTATTACAAACGAGTTAAAATGGAATATAGATATCTTAAAACGACTTAAACATGCACGGATTTAACAAAAATATAAAATGTATCAAATGGGATGAGGTTAAAGTAAACGCCCATGGGCAGCCGTCGTCAACAACACAACACAAACATTCCAGGGCCACTGCCAACCTTAAAAAGGTGAACCTTTCAGAGCTACCAACACGTGCACGGAAGAGATCGTTGAAGCTTCATTTGTATCCCAAGGCCTGGTAAACTTTCAAACTTAATTATTTGTAGATTTCTGTGTGTTTCCTTCATCATATTAGTTTTCCTCACTTTAAATATGTAAGGACGGAAAGAACTTTTTTGTTTGCAGTTGCCATGGTTATTTTGTTATTAACCAATGAGAACTCCGGTCAGCCATCGTGTCGAAAGCAATAAAAATGGATGAAGTGGAGGTGGACTGTAAAGCAGGCACTTATCCAAATTTAGACGATATTGTCGTTGAAGGTAAGTGTTAAGTATGCCCATTTTATTTTTAAATGTCGAGTTTACACATGGGCGTTAGTTTTAGCCTTTGACAATCCGTCTTTTGGATATTTTACCCATAGACTTTGTCAGATGGTGCTCAGGCTGTTTTCCCCTTTGCCTACACACAAGCAGCCTTGGCGGGGGGCATGGTTTATTTTTGTTGTTATTAATTTCGTGACAACATTTTAAATTTACTAGAAATTATGGCATTGTCATTAGGTATACACAACCAATGTTTGCATTTGATAAGAGTGCTATTTATGGCATACTGGCCCTACCTTTAGAGAACTGTCAATACACTTAAGAAGGTAGGGGAATGTGTGGGTGGTGTTCTTTTGGCTCTCCAAGAAATTCCCAGAGTGTTTGATTTTTGATCTTAGTGCTTTTTCCTAATATTCTTGTATGAATTTTTCACATTTGATGTATTTTCAACTATTTTATTATTCAAGATGACGGACCAACTTTACTCCTTCCCTGCATTGTGTGCAACAAAACCTTTAAGCCAGAAGTACTTCAGCGTCATTCCAAAGTGTGTGAAAAGAACGTACACAAAAAGCGAAAAACATTTGATTCCTTCAAACAAAGAGTACAAGGAACTGACTTGGCCGAATTCTTGCCATTTTCCACCGTTCAAAAGAAAGTATCCAGCAGTGACAAAGCAATAAGCCCAAAAATACCTTCCAGCCGATGGAAAGAAAATCATGAAGCATTCGTCAGTGCTATCCGAGCAGCCCGAGGTAAGTTTCAGTAGATCTGATCTAATAAATTATTAGAAGTATTTTTTATTTTTTTTCTAAAGTTCTGAGTCACTTCTGTGTATTGCCCACTTTAGGTGAGGGGTCAGATGCTTCAGGGGGTAGTGGTGACTCACGATCAGTTCTAAGACCTCCCGACCATGAGCAGTGCCCGTATTGTGAACGCCACTTTGGTAGGAAAGCATTTGATCGCCATCAAGACTGGTGCAGAGAACAACATTCAAGACAGCCTCCAGTCACTGCTAGTATACAAGCCAAAGAACGGCTGGAGGCCCGCATTAAGGTAATTTAATCTTGTACCTGTTTCTATGCTCATTGCTCAGAAAGACAAGTATACTAAGTAGTACAACATACTGTATAAACTAATTAACACATGCAGTGCCTAGTCATTTTTTAATCACGTTTCGACAGCAGGGTGGTTCTGTTAATGTAAAGGTTTATTTTGATAATTATGTTGGCTCTTGTAATCATTTGTTTGCTTCCTTTTCAGTATCGGGCACCACCCATTAAGTCCAAAAGAGCCATAACCCGTGAAAAGTATTCGCCTCTAGTACAGCGCAAAGTTCGTCAAGTCAGTCCTAGCAGCAGCTCTAATTTCAGTAGCACTACAGGAAGTGCAACATCAAGTGCAGGAAGCTCCAGACACACTCCTCAGTCCCAACAAGAGCAATCAAACCGCTTGAGCAAAAGTGGAAGTATGTGGGCTCATATTGTTTTATTTATTTTTTCCAACTCTTTAACTCTATCGTACAGTATCTTGATGCAGTTGTTGGAACTCCTTTTAATACTTTCTATCTATCCTGACAGATATATCAGGTCGGTCACAACCTAAAGATTCTGCCAGTAGTTTAGGTTTCAATAGAGGTACAGCAGGAAGGACTAGTTTACGATCTTCTCAAAGAACAGCTGCTAGACCTTCTTCCCCTACCAAAAGCTCTACCGGGAGGTAAATTTTTCATGTTTGCGTAAAGTTGTGCTTATTATTCACTTATTATTCAAATCAATCCTTTCACACATATATTGAAATCATTGTGTTCTGTCTAGTGGAAAACTTCCTGCCTCACCTATTCTACGACGAACTACTGAAGATTCACGAAGAGTACATGACAAGGATGACATGGCAGTTACATCAGCTAGTCTGAGAAAACTCCAGTCCAGAAATCCCCCAGTAAAGCATGAATCCAAGATTCTTGATACTCCAAAGATGACAGCAGAAAAGAAGCTTGACGAGTCATGTGCACCAGCAGCCAACACTCCCACATTACATATTGAAATTAATACCAAACAATTGAAGGACAATACTAATAACTCCAAAAGTGCAAAGAATGATCAACTATGGAGGTAAGTTCAAATTCTTTATCAATTTCTGTTAGATTTATTATTATCTATAAGAAAAGTGTCATTGTGATAATGCTCAGCACAGTATTTTGCTTGTGGTTGGAATGAGATGAGCTAAAGGGACATTACTTCTTTACCAAATGGACATAATTTAACTTATTTATATGCATTTCATTCCTTTGGATATTTCCCGTATACTGTACTATTTTTCCGGGGAGGAAAATGATTTGTCTCCAATTATGACATTGCACATTACCTAAGGAAATGTTTATTTAAATTTGTCCAAAAGAAGGCACAGTAGCAGTACAGCTTTCCTGTGACAATGCTCCTCATTTCTTTTTCCTCCTACAGGCAAGGCTGTGCCAAGCACACAGGGCTCTTATCCCTTCTCCCGAATCCTCCCTCTCCTGCTGTTCCCTCTCCTGTTACTCCAAGAGGGTTAATAAGAGAGAAAGAGGCTAGACGAAACTGCCTATTTCGGTGCAAAACTAACCGTATTGATGTGAATAGCCATGTGGCTGAAATGGTAGTAACGCCCCTCTGCACACGTTATGGTCCATGTGGTGAATCTAGACATCTGAAACCTACTAATAACTTTCATGCTAGAGTTAATCCTGTTTGGGGTGGAAAGCTTTGTCATGCTGAGGCAACAAGCATACCAGGGATTACAGATTGCGATTCTGAAAGCACCATTAGTCTCAAGCTGAGTTCCTCCTCTGAAACCCCTGATTACAGTCCTAGTAGTGCAGATTCAAATCGTACATATGTTACCCAATCATCTGTGTGCTTCAAAATTGACAATTTACAAGATATAGATTGTCATCAGATGGGAAAAACATCTCCAGAACCAACTTTGAAGTCGAGTTGTACCAATATCAAATCAGATGTTCAAAAGATTTCAAAAGTTATAGGATTCCCTGAATGCACTCAATCTCTCTCAGATCCACAAGAAAGTATATGTAAAACCTTGAAAAGGCCTACATATCAGGACTTTCCCCATACTTCCTCTGATTTTAGTGACAGGGAAAAGTTAATCCCTAGGAAAAGAGTGAAGAGTAGTAAAAGGTCTAAAAAGGCAGCAATAGACCACCATGCAAGTAAATTGTCTGCAATATCTGCCCCTCTGCCTCCAGTTGCTCCAAAACAATCAAGGTTACTCTGTCATGCAATTGAAAAAAGTGTCGCATTTTCTGACACTCATTGCAACTCTGGCATTAAAAAGAGAGATATTTGTACCTCTCCAGAAAACCTGTCTAATTGCCCAGGGGTTGGTAGTAGTAGTCATCGCACAACATGGCTTGACATTGCTAAATGTGGCAATCGTACTAGCCAATATGTCAGTTTCTACACCCACTCAAATGTAAATCAATTTGATACCAATCTAAAAATCCCTAATACTTATGTAGACAAAGAATGGGAAATTTCAACTTCTGTTACAAAAAATTCTAGTGACACTAGTAAAGTGTTGAGTACTTCTATTTGTTATATCAAAACTGACAAGAAGGACTTGGACACTGAAGCAAAGAAGCCTTTGAATGGAGAGGAAATGCATTTTCCCAAATTAGTTCTTATGAGTGGCAAAAATATTTCACAGCAAAGCACTGATTGTAGCGTCTATCGATACACAGTTCCTGAAAAGGCATTTACAAAACCTCCTTTTGTGATCAGGAATCATTCATCTGTTAAACTGCAACCCCTACCACTCAGGAAGAGCTTAAGGTACTGGCAGGGTAGAGGAAGTAAAGTAATTTTTCATTCTGACAGTTTAGTGAGAGTTGAATTAGAGTACTTTGTAGGTAATGTCCTCTCCACCTTTACGTATCCCAGCCTTTGTTACATGCAAACATAATAGCTTCTATCTTTCTCTTAGTTCTGACTGTAAACTTTGTGCGTTGTAGGACACTATTAGGTGGACACATTCTGCCCAGTATGTGCAACCTCAGATTGATAGTAGGTGGCAAAAGGATGTGAGTACTGTATGTTCATTTGGAGCACTGCTTCCCAGTCACCGTCATGATGGATTGCTGCTGATTCACTGTCATGTTTCGGATTGAATTGCACTTCTGTAGCATTTGCTTTTTGATGCTTTGGTTGTCCTTTCCTGCTTTTCAGTTCAGTCTCTCAGGTCTCTTTAGATTTTTTCAGAACAGCAAAGCTTTTGCCTATGTGTATGCTATTATCACCAGAAATCTTTTTGAATTGTATTTTTTTCGTTTTCTTTTTCCCTTTTTTATATTTAAGTTTAAATTTTTAAACTATGGCTGTCATTCTCATGCTTTTCCATAAACTGTTTTTAATCATTTGTGTTACATATCTACAGAATATTACTTTGTTGATAGATTTGGTAGCTTTTGTTTTTTTTTTCTTCTGTGGTTGATATTTGTTTTGAGTGAAGTGTCTTAGTCTGTACCATTATTACCTACATTTTAAGTCATTTTTTTCTGAATCAAGTTAAGCCTATCTACCATTTAATTCTAAAATATTGTTCTAAATTTTAATTTAGCCTTATTTTTGTTGTTGTTGTTGCAGAGGCAGTTATAATCAGGAAGAGCCATATGATCCATATGCATCAGCTGAACGCCAGATGATGGAACTTTTGCGCAGTGATAGTGCTTGCAACATTAGCAAGAAACAGAAGCAGAAGTCTCCCTCACCTGCCCCTTCAATTTCTCCTATGCCATCTCCCACCCTGTCCCCCAAACCATCTCCTTTAGAAACATCTCCAACTTCTGCTTTCACTCGTTATGCTAAAGAATTAGAATCACCTGAACCTTCATTTCAGAAGGAAACATGTGGAGAGTGCCCTGACAAACCACAAGTGGCTGAAGCTTCTAAAAATTGTGGAATGGATGATGACTCGCCTCTGGTAGATGGACTACATAAAAATTTGAGCAATGTAGCTGAAGCTCAGAGAAATGAACTTCTCAAGGAATTCCCTCTTCAGTTAAATCATCAACTTCCTGAACCAAAAGCTAAAGTACCCCAAACCATGTATCCTGTCCAGCCTCAGCCTCCTCCTAGATCCAATAGAAGGTTGGCATCTTTGCCTCTGTATAAAAACCCTAATGATTTAATTGTATCAGGTGTAAGTGCAATACATCCAACTTTGCAAACAAGTCAGTCTGTTGAAGCGGTACCTCAGGATATCACCAGTATTGCAACCCCTGACTTAGACAATAGACCAAAAACATATGATTTAGATAGTAGTAAGAAAGAAATAATCAAGAAGGGTGGCCGCTATAACGTCAATGAGAAAGCTATGCTCAGTGAACTAGATTCTCCTATAGTTATAGACACAGCTGATGGAGGCAAAATTGAAGTGCTTAATCTTGAAAATAGGGATGATAGAATGAGGAGACGAGAAACCAGGGAGAGTAGGGAAGTCCGGGAAATAACAGAGCAGGAATCAGATATTGCAGATATTGATTATTTGTTAGAGGAAGTTGTTCGTATGCAACATTCAGTTTCTATGCTCTCTGAAGTTGATTCTTCTAACTCTAGAGAGGCTACTCAGTCAGTAAACCTCTCTTCTGCGCGTAGCCGTAGAAATCGTGCTGGTAAGATGCACATTGAAGACTATCTTTTTCCAGCTGAGCTGCTAGAGAGAGATAATAATAATCTCCAAGCTTCAGCAGATTCATCAGACAGGTCAAATTCAGTCTTTGGCTCTACCAAATCTCGAAAGTCGTCATCTAAAGGTCGCAGGTTGATTGAAGATATGCTTTTTCCTCAAGGCTTTGACCTTAACGCCAACTCGGATTATGTTGAGGATAGTGATGTTGTTGTATCAGCTAATGCTTTGACTGCTATGTCTAAGCCCTCAGAAGAGTTCAGTTCTCAAATTGATGCAGTTTTTTCTCACTATCCCACATCTCCAGTGGCTCTCACTTCTAAAGCTCCAAGTGTTAGTGATAACAGTGATAGCATATCCCGTCCCAAACCCATGTCCCTTTTCACCCACAGTTCCATCAGAAACGGTTGCAATGGAGGTAATGACAAGGATACCATCTCAATTCCCACAAGTCCAATGCAACCCCTAAATCAAAGCCGGCAATCAACCAGCAGTAGGTTAAGTGCTGACAGTGCATACAGTAGGTAAGTCCTATCTTTAAATACATATTAGTTTATTTGGTTTTAAAGTGTTCCAAGTACGTACATTTTGTTGATAGCTCTCTTTTTAAATACTGTTTTTATTCTTTGTGGGTATTTTTAGTTTGAACCGTAGATCACCAGTGCCACAAATCCGTCGACAAGGCAGTGTTGGAAATCAAGATATACAGCGGCAAGGAGCAGAAAGCCCACAATCTATTATTTCCCAGTCGCTGACACAATCTCTTGTGCTAAGCTCCAGTGGCTCTGAGTCTTCTCTTCCTCCACTGTCATCCTCCCAATCAATGAAGCGTGGAGGTCAAAGTAAGCATGAATGTGAGACTCCTTCATCAGATATTGTAAGTGCAACCACACCCCTTTTCCCAAAGCTTTCTAAGTTTTGTCATCAATGTGGGACCAAATTCCTTATTAGTGTAGCAAAGTTTTGTCATGAATGTGGAGCAGCTCGTTTGGAAATTTGTTAAATTTTGCATGACCACAATGAATAATTTGCATTTGTATTTTCGTTTTTCTGCAATATGTGCGTGTCAGGTAATGAACCTATTGTTGGCTCAGATGGCATAAGTTGCAGTAAAGGGCACATTGTACAGACTTATCTAAGAATTGAAAATCATTCATCTCCTGTTTTGATTCCATTATGAAGTACTTTCCTTCACCATTGATGGACTTTCTCTTTAAATAAAGAGCAATGGATGGGACTTTTTCCCCTAACAGTGATACGTGAAGCTTGATTCATGTCTTTCATGAGTTATTCTTGTGGTAAATTGTTTGTCATGTTCATAGACTGGTACCGATATTTGTCTTGAATTCATTTGATTACTAACTAAAATACTTGTCCAGTTGGTGATAGGGTTAAATAATCTAAGTAAGTCCTGATTACAACTAAATTTTTGTGAAAGTTTATATTTTAATATGCGATGTGAGACCAAAAGGCAAATCTTTATCGAAACATTTTAAACAAATATTTTAATTTAGATCTGTGATAACAAGTAGCACATTTTACATCATCATCTTTCTTTGTTGTTTTGTTGTTCAGTCGAGTTCTTGGACTCAATCTCAATTCATGAATTTCATTTTAACACATTTACATTGAATGTATGTAATCTCAATACTGTATGGGCTTGAAAATTACCATGCTCAACATATTACTGTCGAATAAATTCCATAAAGTTTCACTGTATGCCTTAAAACTTGATCTGATTGTGTGTCATTTTAAAGGCTAATCTGCCTACAATATCAAATTAGATTAACTCATTACATTAATGTACTTTCAACAAAAATTTCTAGGAAATTTACTGTTGTATGTAATACGTCCAGATTTACCAAAATACAATTTATGTATCTTTTTTTCTATTAGCTCTTAATACTTTAATGATGATTATTGACTGAAAATATTTTGCATTTACTACTACAGTATTCCTTAAAATTACAGAGATGTATTTGGATTTTGCCACAAATACACCAGTTTCTATGTTGTTTCTTCCTTTTGGAGGAAATGAACTAAAGCACTTGCTCATATCAAGCATATTGCCATGTTCACATCTATCCAGTGAGCTGCAGTCATATTGTTGTGAAGTGTTTATTGTATTTTATTAAAATATGAGAATAATGCAATCTAAGAGACTTATTAGTGCAGTATTTAACTTTTAATTCAATCAATTTATATTATTTTAAAGCGCTAAATGTCTAATGCTTGTGTTATGCATAACCCTTTGCTAGCAAATTTAATTTCACTGTTCAGTCTCTGCAAAAAGTTTTCAAAGAGGTCAACTGTTAGGTAATGAATATCATTTCTGCGAGACGAGGACAAAAAATGAGACATGCAATCAAGTTGCAGATAGCGTCAAAAGTAGATTTTCTTACTAATATTTGGATTAGTAGCTGGATTTATTGATTTCAATTATTACAGGTTTTGCTATTTTTATATTTTGATTGTCACAAGCTTGACAAAAATCAGTAAATTCAGATGTTCTCAGAATTTTATCTTAGTTTCTGTTAAAGAAAGACTGACAGCTCATGCATATGCTGCAAAAACAGATGATAGGAGTACTCTCTTCGCCTCCTGGTTTTATCAAAAGTAGTTTGAATTTGAATTGTTTGCTCTCTCTCTCTACTCTTATTATTTGGGTTTGCACAATACTGCGATGCTTATCCAACTTGAAAATTTAGGCAGAGGAACTATAGACATTGTAAAGCATACACTGAGCTTTAGTTGTGAAAGAAGAAATTGTAATGCAGCCAAAAAGCATAGGAAAATATTAATCTGCTTTACCTGCAAAATTAAATTGAAAGTATCGGTAATACCATTTACTGAAGTTGTTTTCTTTCTGAGTGTACTTAAGAAAATTCATTAGTGATTTTGAATCTGGTCCTATTTTGTATGTTCTGTTTTGTTAAATATTTTGTTTTTTATTTGCAGTTAATGTGTTCCATCACATTAAGAACAGCATGTTTGTACTTTTAGATATCAAGATTCTCTCTTTTTGAGTTTTTATCTAAACCTTATAATTTTAGTGGTAGAGGTTGTAAAAGTAAAACTTTCTCTAGTCCTAACATACTATGATCTAACTTCAATGTTAAATACACACAATTTTGCCACTAATAACAATATGGTATGTGAGAGAGAATCTCTACCTCAGCAGTGTGTTTGATCATTGAACTCTAGCGGTGTGTAATTCAGTTTTCTGATTTTTTCTTGTTCATTTTTTGTTGTTGTTCTAACACAGCCTTTTTTTAAATGGCTAAATTATTCTTCCATTGTGCATGGTCTAACACATTATTACTCTGTAATATGTTTGCTTTTCTTATAATCAAGTGTACATTGTGTGGTGTGGTGTATTTCTAATTATTGTCTACTGTCTGTTCTTTCCCTTCATTCTCTGCTTATTTGCAGTTTTAAATTTTTGATAGGAAACAAGTACCACTATTTTGCAATTCACCACCATACTTAAGTAAAAAGACATTTCTCAAGTAGCATTGTTAAATTGTGTGGTTGAGGTGCATTTTGCCGATTTGTGGAAGATGTTAATTTGAGACCTTAACAATATTAGGGTCCTCTTTTGTCCGCTCTTTTATTAATTTGATATGTTACTTACTGCTCAGAGCATTCCTCTGTCCCCATTTAAAGAACACATCAATAGTCCAAAGCACTACCTGAAGTTTATCTTTTTCTTTGTGTGAGTTTTGCTTACTTAAAAGATTGTATTATCATTCCGTCCACTAAGTGCCTTAAAACATACTATGTATTCTGAAAAGAAAAAAAAGAAACATGAAGATTTTGCATGAACAAATGGTAATTTTAAAGTGAGAATTTTTTTGAAATGATGATAATTTTTCCTTTGGTTTGGGTTACATGGCCATTTACATTCATGAAAATGCATTACAAGGTTAATTCTAGTCACCCCTTGATGCTGTTTCATTTCTGTTTTTACCATTTAACAGTCATAGCATCGCAGCCCTTAAAACCAAATCTACTATCTGTGTTCTTGTTTAGAAAATAATAAATTATACTTAACACACACATTGTGTATTATGATTTATTCGCTTCAATGCCCTACTTACAGCAACGGC